ATCAGATCTTTAAGACCTTTGACTATAAAGATGCACTATTATTTTATAGATCACTAAGACCAAAAAAAAAGTGCCACCAGAATTCTAAAATGCGTACTCATTTTAGAGATGTAAAACTGTGGGAAAATTGCATCTGAAAATGGATGAAATACGGTGTTATACTTGTTCTGCACCCACCACACGGAAGATGTTACAAGGATCAATGGCATTACAGATGAGAAGGCCCCTGGGGGGAACTGATGGGCAGCATCCTGAAGCACCAGGACTTGAGGAAGGGGAATGACATTATGGCTCCAGACCAGCTAATTAAACTGGCTCTGCTGGGCTTCGTCCCCTCTCTTGCCTCAGGCTCCTATCACAATTTATGCTCAAAATGACTGTTACAAAGCCCAAACTGAGAGGGAAAAACAGTCAAGGAAAACCATTTGTGGCAGTGCTCCCTAAACTTGCTGCAGCATAAGAAATCACCTGGTGCATTTGTTAAATATACACCGAGGCCCCTTCCTGGAGACTTTGATTCAGCAAATCTGGAGCAGGCATTGGATCTATGTTTTAACAAGGGCCCCAAGCCATTCTTGTGAACACACAGGCTTTAAAACACTGATCGAAACAAGGTAATATCCATCCACTTACTGATATTTTTCCTTGTATCAGATCATAACAGAAAACTGCGAACCTGGACTGCCTTAGCTATGTCCCCATGTAAGAAATGCCTCAACCCAGTATAAGAGTTTACGGACAGTCAATGTAAAAAAAACAAAAACAAAAAACTATCTCACCAAGGAGAGTTTACATTGACTGGGAAATTTATGGAAGTTATGGAAAATTCTATGTTTCAATGTTTACAGTATATAAATTGGCATAATCAATATATTAAAGAATAGATCCCTTGACAGACTGATCTGCTTTCTTTTTTAATCAGTCAATGCAAGTTGCTAGGCAACCATTTTTCCCTTTTTTGCTTAGACTGCCAGGAATCTTTCACCTAAAATTCATGCCCCCAAACAATAACAATACTAACAATAGTTATATACCTTGATTAGAGAAAAAAAAAAAGGCAAACAAAAAACCAGCTGCTGCTATACAAAACTTCTCATGATGTTTCGGCTTTGTTCTGTATTTTAATGGTTATGTTACACTCAGACTTTTTCCCCTTCAAGGCCTTCGAGTCCTTTCGGAAGGTAAGAAAGGGAACAAATTTTAAAATCAATCCTGTTAATTTCGTTTTGTTCTGTTTCTCATCACATTTAGACTAAGCGACCACAACCCAGTTTCTAGCAACACTTCACGTTGCGTGGGCTTTCTCCTCTCATGCCAATCCCTTGGCCAGCTTTTAAAACACCGCAGGAACGCTAACCGTATCTTGGCAAGGAGACTCTACTTCCTATTCAAGCCAAATACTTAAGAGAATAAACAGAAAATAATTTTAGAGCCTCTCTAAAAAAGCTCTCCTTGTCTTTCTCTGGTGGATAACAAAATATCCTGGCAATCTGACCCAACTATGAAGCACAGAAAAGCCATCAAGATCCTTCCCTATAAGAACAAAATGAAACCAAATCCCCAAAAACCCTAAAACAAAACCTTGCACTTCATTTTTATTATTTTTATTTTTTATTTTTCTTAAAGATTATATTTATTCACGAGAGACACAAAGAGAGTGGCAGAGACACAGGCAGAGGGAGAAGCAGGCTCCTCGCAGGGAGCCCGATGTGGGACTTGATCCCAGGTCCCCGAGATCACGACCTGAGCCAAAGGCAGACGCTCAACCGCTGAGCCACCCAGACATCCCATCACTTCATTTTTAAACATCTTACTCGTGTGCCTTCAGTTCTGCAACAGAAATTCATCCTTGACCTGAACTTCTAAATATCCTACAAACAATAATTAAGTCGCTAGAACCCTGCTGTGTAAAGGGCACTTTCTGACAGATGGGAAACCAAGCCAGAGCACAGGAACCGTTTCCACGCTTCCCCACCCTCACACAGCAAGGAGATTAGGGGCAAGGATTTTCATAATCACCTTGGAAACTGGGGTGCACGCAGAATCCCAAAAGGACATGCCTATGCTATCAATACTTCAGAGTACAGAGTAAGGACACTCATTATGGTCCCAGTGAATATTTCCAACCTCCATGGATTGTTTCATACCATGCTGACTTCACCCTGCTTTCTGGTGAAAGGTCTCTTAGGCCGTGAAGTCCTTCAGGCTGCCATTCCCCTCGCATCAGGGCTAATCCACTGTCACCTGTCTTCCCCGGACACGCACACCACAACACCACAACTGGCTGCCTCATCAGTTTGTCTCTGCTGCTGGATCCAGCTGCTAGGGGTGAATGATCCCAGTTAAATTCAGTCAGGACCAGATTACCCGGGACAGTAGCTGCTTGGGCAATTTGTGTAAATGAAAGAATCTAGTTCAGGGACTCTGAGGTCCCTCAGATTCTGTGATTCATGCAAATAAGGATGTGAGGCCCAAAGAGGTGAAGTGATTTTTTTTTCCCCAAAGTCACACCAGAGAAAATAAAGAAGACACACAAAAATCCTCTCCTTTGCAACCTGAGTTTTTCATCCTGCCTTCCCCCTTCCCTTTCTTTTCTCACCCCAGAACAAGGTTCCCAGGGAAGCCTTCCAGCCTGGGGCCAGGCTCCTTGGTTACCTGCTCCTGTAGCTTCCTAGAATCACGTTCCTTTCTTTTGGGAACTTTAGCCTGACTTGCAGTTTTACTTTCAAAAGCGAAATCATCTTACAAAGGCCTTTCTCAGTAAAATAAAAACTCCCTGAGAGCAGGAGCACGTCTTTGTTGCTGTGGTTCGCTGCTCTGCGGCTCGTGGCCAGCACAGGAAGCCTCGCTAAATATTTGCTGAATGAAGGAATCATTCTGGAACCCTCTGAAAACACGGAGTGGGTCTGTGGTGCAAATATTGTGTCTCATGAACAGCAGGCATACAATAAAAGTGGCAAATCATTCTTGTACAGTATTAAAAGATATCTCTATTTTTGCATTCAGATGACTCACTTTATAAATAATAGGTGGCCAATGCTTCAACACAGATGTCCTTGTTTCAGACTCTGGGAAAAGCTGGCAGCCTCTCTCTCAGGAGGTGAACAAGGATATATTATTTTATCACGGGAGTAAGACAAACGTGGAATACCAATGTGACGCTCACACAACTTCTTTCATGGGACAAATGGAAATATCTATTGATTTAGGTAAGCAATTGTTTCCTATCACAGGTACAGATAATTGATAGGATTATTCTTTTTTTTGATAGGATTATTCTTATTTGATTTACCCACGATCTTTTAAAAAAAAATTCTTGGAAGTATGTAACAATATTTGCAAATTGTATTCCACTTAACCCAGGGAAAGTGCTAGGTCACATCTCTGATTTTCAAGCCACTTACAGACTCCAGAAAGAATTAATGACAATTTGATGTAATTACTTAAAATATTTCAACAGTCTGTTGGTTTCTAGAAGTATTAGACATCATCGCTCCCAGTCCTAACCCCAGAATTAAAGTAGAAAATTCAGTGGATCACTTCTATTATTGTTTCTCGCTGTTCTTCACCTGTTTCAATATAACAAAAATCTGCCAATTTACAGATTTACTACCCTTGATCCTCTGTCTCATGGTGAGAGATCTGCCCGGCTTGGGAGACCAAGAAGAAAGTGTTGAAAAAAGCCCTCTCCTGGACAAAAAGCTTTTGATTACAGAATGTCACTATTTTGGGAAATGTTCTTAGCACATCCCAGTGAAGTACTTTATACCTCCCCTCCTTGGAGCTTGGGAAAATGTCACAGCACCTAAGTTGGGGTGTCTCAGAGGTACTGGAGGCAGCACCGAAGTCAGAAACTATGGTTATATGCTCTGATTTGTCTTTGAGCAGATGTAATGGGATCACAAATCAAGAGACCTGATTATAAACCTAGTGCCATCCCCCTCTGGCCTTCTACTTCTTCTAATGTTAAACAGAACCATTACTCGAAGGTCTCCTTTATTACCAGCATTCAGTGACCTTAACTTTGACTCTTCTGACACACAGAGATAATGTCAGAACTTGTTTCTGGAAAGGCAGGAAAAGACCAGATGTCTTCAGGGGGTTTATCAGTCTCTCCTACCTTTACCGTAGATACCCGAGGATGCCCTGCATCTATGCCCGGCCAGTGCTTCACAGTGGGTCTCTAATAATTGTGAAGGTAATCCAGATGCTTGTTATGGGCTGTATTCCCCCCAATTCATTATTTTGAAGCTCTAATCCCCCAAGATCTCCGAATGTGACTGTATTTAAAGATGGGACTTTAAAGAAACTAAGTTAAAATCAGGCCACCAGTGTGGGCACTCATCAGATCCGACAAGTGTCCCCATAAGAGGAGGAAACGGGACACGCACAGAGACAAGGGGAACCCACGTACACAGACAAAAAAGGCCATGTGAGGATACAGTGAGAAGAAAGCCATTTGCAAGACAGGGAGAAAGGTCTCAGGAGAAATTAAACCTGCTGACACCTTGATCTTGGATTTCCAGCCTCCAGTAATGTGAGAAAAGAAATCTGTTGTTTAGGCCACCCAGTCTGTGAGGTTTCATCAGAGCCGCCCTCGACAAGGAACACGATGCTGAACTGATTCACCTGTTTAGATGAGACTGTGGATCATCGGTCCACATCTCTCCCTTCTCCAATGAAAAGACTTGAGCTCTACAGCAGGAAAGTAACTTTTCCAGGGCTACACACTTACTTACTTGGTGCCAGGAGAGATTTTAGATCAGAGCTCACAGGGGAAATGGGTATACTTGACCACCCAGACTTTCTCCCTTTAAAAAATTCCAAATCAGACAATAAACACTGCATTTGGCATAGACATCCAAATGGTATACGTCACAGAAACTACACCCAGTGCACAGTAATAATGTTTGAAGAACTAACTTTGTTTCTTTTGTTTGTTTTTTTGAGGATCGGAGTCATATTTAGGTTTTTACCAAAAATTTACATTTTCATTTACTAGATGTCCTCTGCATTATTTCTCCTCAGCCATTGTCCACAAGACTCCAAGAAGCTAGAGGAATATGCAGGTGTGGACTCCAGGCCCAGCTTCAACTCCACTGTTGTGGCAAAGGCTTGTCCATCACAGAGCAGAGACCTGGACCCAGGAGTACCCACGTTGGATGAAGAACTGATTTTCTATTAGGACTATAACCTTTCATTGAAGAAATAAAAACACGCCTTTAGAATATGCCCTGTTTGTGCCACAACTCTGCCAGTATCTAGTGACCAGAGTATGGGACTGGGACTTCTTCCTTCATTTCAGAAGGCCCAAACGTTTCCCCCAGACAGCACTCACCATAGCTACCAATTCTCTTCTATGCTCCTTCCTTTCCCAAAGGGGCCTTCTGCAATCTGTATACACGGGGAGACACTCTGACATAAACATGCCTGATTTTGAGACTAATACCAGGTATTAGACTCTACATTTACACTGGAACCTGTCTCTGTTCTCTGCTCTTGGTCCCGTGCAGTGCCTAGGCAGTCTCCCAAACCTGGTCTGACACGGGCTCCAGGCCAAACACAAGATGGGGCTTGAGTCGGGAATTTCCCTGCAGATCTGACAATGGTTGTTCTTCATTCCAAGGCATGCTCCCCTACTACAGAAGACTTTAGGATGAGACCCAGCAAGAGAACTGAACGCAATTATCAATAGCAAACTCTTGATGATCAGAACTGAAATAAGGGAAAAGCATTCCAGTCCAGTGGTTCCCAAACAATACTCCTTGGACAAGCGAAGGCTGTCTGCATCTGAGTCATCTCCGTTTTTTAAAATATAAATTCCAAAATGCTATCCTCAGGATGCTCTATTTCATTGAACTGGATTGTGGGTTTTTAAATGATCCCCAGGTGATTATGTATTTTGGGAAAACCTCGGAACTGTTGCACACTTTTTCAGAGTTGAAAGAAAACAGAGAAATAGCCAGTGTCTACAGATCACAGTTCGAATCCCTGAGTCACTAACATTAACGACCAGAATCATCATGAGCCTAGAACTCTTTAGGTGAGCTTCATCCAATTCTATATTAGTTCCTGCACTATTATGTAATAGAACACCCAGAACTTAAAACAAGTGTTTCTTATCTTTCAGTAGGCCTCTACATAGGGATAGGACATCCTAAGTGTCCTCATAACATGCAGCTACCTTCCCTCAGAGTGAGCGATCCAGTAGAGAGAGAGCAAGGAGGAAGCTCCCGTGCCTTTTATGATCTAATCTCTAAAGATACTCGTTGCCATTTTCACTTCTTTCTACTTGTTAGAAATGGGTCACTAAGTCCAACCCACATTCCAGGAGAATAGGCTCCATCTTTTGAAGGGACTGTCAAAGATTTTTGGGCATATTTTAAACTACCATGATTTCCAATGTCTGTCAATGTCTGTCATATTCTGAGAATGGAATAGAAACTAGAAATATAAAAGCATCTGTGGTCTTGACCTCATGAAATATGGGAGCAGGGGTGGAAGAAAGAAGTAGTAATAGAACCAAAAGTATATTATTCTTCTCTTATGAAGTCAAGCTAGTGAATGCGCAGTTAGGTTAGGGACAGAGAGGCAGGTAAGTGTGCTAAATGAGGAGTCGAAAAGGCTTGGGTTTGAAATTCTACTTTCCCAGCTTGAGCTATGTACATCATGTAGCCACTGAGCAGGACTTACTTCATAGTGGTGAGGGAGCAGAGTCGCAGGCAGGGATTCTGTGAAGCCGAGGAAGGTAAAACCCATGACAGTGCTAGACAAACAGCTAAGTGCTGTACACACTAATAATTATGACTGCTGGCGTGTTTGCTGTAAGTGAGGGCATTCACATCAGAACGTACTGAGGCCAATATACTGGGTCCTCTTAACTCCTTTTACATATACCCTCTGGGTTTGTGTTCTTGCCTTCTAGGGGCAAAGCAGCCCCTTCAGTGCTAAGGAAATCCTATCAAAAGGGATGCTCATCTTCCTGCTCCAAACTGTGTTTTCTTTCTGCTGGGCATGTCTTACCTGTGGCATGCCCAGGAACTGTGTCTGGCTGGGCCCCCTAAAATGTACCTGAACTGACCAAAGCTCCCTGACCAGGTAACTTCTCTCAAGGACTTATAACTGCTCCCCTGCATGTTTAAATGCCCACTGATAGTGGAGGTGAGAGTGAGAAGGAACTGCAAATGTATATAGACGTTTCTGGAAATATTTTGTGCTTGAGGCCATGTCTCCACATAAATATTTAAGTATGATTTGCATATATAGAGAGAGACATGCAAACCTGAAAACAAAGTCCTGAGACAGAATTCTACTGTCGTCAGAATGGGAACTGCCTCACAGCTCCAGAGAAAAGAATTTGACTCCGAGTATTCAGCTCAAGAAGATGTCAATCTATGCAGAAAACAACTTATAACCACCCAGGAGTATGAAAGTATCTGAGAAAAAAAAAAAAAAAGAAAGAAAGTATCTGAGAAAGCTCATTCTCAATTCTTTTACAAATCCTTTTCTTACCCCTCTCTTCCTCCCCAGTATTTTTGGACTCTTTAAAGAGATCCAAGAAAATCCAATTTTGGGAAAATTCAGTGTGGTGAGACATGTAATATTTAAACCACCCCATGGCTGTGACAGGGAAAAAAAAAAATGAAAAGCATGCCTATGCAGAGGTATAGAAAAGTGCCTGAAAAACAACACTGAAAACTTTCCCAGGCCTAAGGGGGGGAGGACAGACCTAAATCAAGAACTTTAAAAGAAGAAAAAGTATCTTTTGCCCAGAAGTCAAAAATCCAAAGGAGAATTACTACTGGAATAAGTCTAAATGCCCCCCCCCCCCACGGACATAAAAGATGATCATGAGAGGGAACACAAAACTCGAGGCGTTCAAGTTTTAGAAGGCCACCTGCTGTGTTCCCCTTTCTGCAGAGAATAAAGGAAGAGTGACTAAAATTAGGAACACTTGTACTCATTCCCCACTTTGAAAGTCAACTCTGGGGGCCAGAGTTTTGTTCAAAATGAAAAAGAAAATCAAAGCTCCTTTAATTCAACCACCATAACTTTGTGTTCGAGGGTACAGTGAGGACTTTCCTTTTCCTTTTTCCCCTTTTTATTTCTCTTTTCTTCCCTCCCCCCAACCCCATGATCACACCAACCTCCCTGTGACCTGAGGCACAGTATCTAGGACAATTTATCAGGAGATATCCCAATTTAGATTATGGCTTCATCCCACCAAACCTAGGAACCCCAGAGTCTGTTCTCATTATGTTTGAAACAGATGAGCAAGGTTTTGTGGTAGCCAGTGTCTTGTCATGGACGGAGCCAGGCGAGACCTCCCCCGGAGGACCGAGAATGAAAAACCTGTTGAAACATGGCACTCACATGGGCCTCTTAATCTGCCCTACTCAGTAGAACAGTCAGATAAATCAGGGGCTTTGATTAAACAGTTGCTGAATAAATGAAAGCCCAGGAGATGAGGTTTCAGTTGATTAGGACAACTTCTTAGAAATACTTCCTATCCTGGAATTGCTTCATACAAACACTTCCCTGCATCGTTGGGTGCCACCACGCTGTTCCTCTTAATTATCACCAAAGCTGATAGATAAGAAGCAGGTTGTAGCCAATATTTTACAGAAGTCAAAATCAGCAAATCATTTGTAAAATGCAAAAAACCTAAGTTTTAGATCAGAAAGATCCAGGAGTGAATTCACAAACTATCATATAGTACCTGATTGACTTAGATTAAGTCAAGACACTCTGGGCCTTGGTTTCCAGCTTCCATTTTAATTAATTAGCTTTTTAAAAGCCCAACAGGCTACTGTAAAAACAAAATAAGCACCTCCATGAAAAAGCACGTTGAAGAATCTGAGCAATAGCAGTGAATGAATGAGGCCACTCTCCGGTCTCTAACAGTCCCCAGGCTAGCGGGAGAAAAACACTATAAACAGGCAACAAGGCAAGGCAGGTGTGGTAGCCAACCTCCAAGGTGGCTCCCAATGACCTCACCTTCTGTTAGTCACATTTTCGAGTGGTCATCTTCCATGATGTACCAAGGTTGGCCAGTGTACCCAACAGATGTGCCGGTTTTTACTTCCAAGATTAGGTTACAAAAGGCATTACAGCTTCCATCTTAGTGTCTCTGACCGCGCACTTTGGATAAGCCAGCTGCCATGTCATTGAGCAGTCCTGTGGTGAGGACCAAGTGGAGAAGGACTGAGGTCTCTCGCCAAGACCCTCTTCTTGAGTGAGCCTGGAAGTGGATCCTCTACCCCCAGCCAACACCTCAGATGGCTGCGGTTCTGAGCAACAGCCTGATGACAATCTCCTGAGAAATCCTGAGCCACAACCACCTACCGCCTCAGCCACTTCTGGCCTCTTGACCTTCAGAAATTATGAGAAACAATATACGTTTGTTGCTCTAAATTGTGGAGTAATCTGTTACACGGCAACACATAACATGTACATGAGGCCACAGAGAAAGTTGCAAGGTTTGGAAGAGGAAGAGATCCCTAAAGGCTGGGGGTTCAAGGGAGGATGAGTATGCGAGAGGTGGGGGAGTGGCAACATGCTGCAGATGCAAGGGAACCAGACAGAGGGGCAGAGAAGTATCAGAGGGTTCAGCAGGTACCGTCAAGAGGGGCTGGGACGCCAGGCCGAGGGTCATCTTTTCACTCAGGCAACGGGGAGCAAGTGAGGATCTCTGAGCATGGGGATGACTAGGCAGGAGGTAGGACTGGTGGGCACGTACAGGATGGATTAGCTGTGTACAACCAGGAAACCAAATAGAGCCTTCTGTAATGACCCAGGGGAGCAACCAAAGAGCAGAACCAGAGTGTGGCCAAAGTAGGAATGGACAGAAGAGATGAACGAGAGGTGCATCGCTAACACTGGTCTAGCCTGTCCATGCTGGCCTCCCCTGGCCGCCTGCTGGGACCTGACGCTTCTCAATACTCACTCGGTCATTTAATCTGCGTGCATGGCTAGCTCCACGCCTGAAGACAGAGCTACCACGGGACACATACTTCAGTCAAAGCACCACCATTCATGTATAGAACTTGCTATTCTGGCACACAATACATTGCCTGCAAAATTAATGCCATAAATATCGTAGACATCATAGACACAGAATTAGCGTAAATGGGTAAGATTTGTTTTCTCTTAAATCACCTCAACCTGAAGAACCGACTCCCAATTACACTGTTATCTTTAATAA